AATTTTTTATCCTGAAAGGCTGAGAGAATAGGAAGAATCTCGACTAGAACAAACAGAACAACAAAAAGCCCTACAAGACGTTCTCCTAGTAGGAAGTCGCCAAGTAGGCGATCCCCTGGAAGATCGTCTCACAGATCCCCTGCAAGATCGCCATCATCTACGACTAGGAAATTACCTATTCGTAGCACACGTCTCGCTAAAATATCTCTGTCTCGTATAGATGTTGAAGGCAGTAAGTATCTTTGTGTGATATGCAATATTTGTCACTTGTATTCTAATATTCATACAAATTTGTTCCTATTCATGAACAGATAAAACGAGCAATCATAAAGGAAGCGACATAAAGACACTGAATGAGAGTCCAACTGATTCGTTGCCTCTACAGCAACGTTTGAGGGAAATTATGACTATAACACATAGACCATCGCTTCTGAAGACTGAGCAGGAATATAAATCGACTATATTGAGAAGTATTGATAGAGCTGCCTCGCTTCCAGTGGAAAGGAAAAGTTATGTACAAGATTATCCTCTGGGAGAAAAAGAAAGAGGATACTCAATGCAAAGAGATCAAGTATATATATGTTTTAATAATTTATTATTAATATTCTATTCTGTCTATTCCCCTTTTTAAGCTTTACAATAGAACGGTATGTATTATATCGATAATTGTTTCAGGATATAACAAAAGCTTCACAGGAAGGTGAAAAATGGGAAACGGTTGTGAAACGTGAGAAAGAAATAAATAGAGTTGATAAACCACAAGAATGGGGTGGATGGATTGGGACATTTTTCCTCACATTTATATTACCGATGTCCGTAATCTTACCACAACTCTTATGCTCAAAAGGACAATGCAAATCTGCACTTATAAAACTTTCTGCCGATGTGAAGTCTTATATAAATTTATATACATTGTTGTCTTATATTGCATTTTTAACATTATTGGCTTTTATTTCGATTATACCGATTGGGAAAATCATAGATGGGCAGCAGAGTAAAATTGGAAGACTTCAATATCGCATAAATGGTACATTTTAATATCATCCTCATTTCTATTGCTCGTGGCCGAACGTGGTGATTTCTCTCATATGCCTGTAGTGTGCACGCTGGTTGTACACAGTCGTATGGGAGTCGATTCCAAACGAAGATTTATTAGAGAAGTGCTCTTGGCAAAGATACTCTTGGTGGTTTGCCATTCTTGCCTTCCAAGAGCAGCTACAAGCGTTTGAAAATATTTTTCGGTTCTGCCTGAGATCGAACCTGGGATCTCTGGCATAGCAATCTCGTGTGCTGCCTGCTACGCCACGCTCGCACTCAATTAAAATTTAATACATTAATTTGAACATTTTAATATAGTGTGATTTTTAATTACGTTATTATTTAATGTTTTTTTTTAATTTTTCAGGCTTTTTGAGCGCTATAGTGGCTATAATGGGACTTGGTTCATGTGTATATATGAATATACCGGTCAGTGAATACATTCTGAATAATATCGTGCAGTTGTCTGTCAGTGGGTGGATTGTGGGAACGATTTTAGCTTTGGGATTGTATATTAAGGCAGGAAAAGCTCCAGTAATCAATCTGAATATATATGCATCAACCAACAGCAAGATATATAATTTTTGGCAGGGCAGAGAAATTAATCCACGAATTGGCACTTTGGACATCAAACTGCTGTTAATACGAGCTTCTCTCATTGGCACGGTAATTGTTATTTTATGTTTTTTTTTCGCATGGATTATACAATATATAATAATACAATATAATCAACAAAGGCTTTAGTTGTAAACAATAAGAGCCTTAAGAAGGAGCATATAAGCCTAGTGCTGGATGTCTGCCTAATTTTCTTTTATTTCAAAAATAATATATTATTTATGTTATATTATTTTTTTGAAATAAAGGAAAATTAAACAAAGACATCCAGCACTTATTTCTTGTTACGACTCTTATTGTTTACAACCAAAGTCTTTGTTGATTATAATTAATTGTATTAATTATAATTATATAACGTGAACATAGCCATCGCCCTTAAAGCTGTTGGCAATATAAAGAGTCCAAATATTGAGAAACTTGATGTAGCTACAGTATTAGCTATCTTGTTACAGCTATCTTATATTTTACATGGATTAATATACGAAGCTACTATCTTTACGTCCTTTACAATAATGTATGAGGGAACCGGATATATGACATGTGTTAGTCACTTGTTGTACCCATTCTTGACGACTCTCACCACAAGATTTATATTATATCAGACGTAAGTTTAATAAATAAATGTATTAATATCTTATTAAAATAATATTTTAATATTTTCTATTTAATGTATTTTCAGGATGAAACTTGACTACTTTGTTGGCATATCTATTTTGTGCTTTATAATAGGATATGCTTTGTATTACACTAGTAATTTGCAGAAAGATGAGTTCAGGAAGAATCCAATTTCACCAACAGTACCTTGTAAGTGTAAAGATGAAAAATGATGATTCTCTTTTTTGTCAAAATAAATTCATATTCTTAAAATTTACAGATTTGGAAACCATCCCGACATCACATGGAAAGAAGTTGATATTGTCCGGTTTATGGGGTCATGTAAGACATCCCAATTATTTGGGTGACGTTATAATGCATTGGTCTATCGCGAGTATTGGCTTGGCAAATGACATTCTACCATACTACACCGCGATCTGTTGTACGTTAGTACTCTCTTATAGAGCTGTGAGAGACAATAAACGTTGTCAGATGCGCTATGGATATGCATGGGAGCAGTATTGTTCGCGTGTGAAGTACATGATTTTGAAACGTGTATTTTAAGACAACAACGCATAGCGTGGTATTTTTTAAATACCAAATTCTATATCAGTTATCACAGAAGATAACGTTCATTATATTTTATAGGATCTCTAGTTATGTGCATTTTACGATATTTTTATGAGATGATGTAGTGATATAGTATTATAAAGTATACAAATATAAAATCGGATAAGAGCCAAAAATATTTTAATAATATTGACAAATATCACATTAGAGAGAGAGATATATATATACATATATTTAAGTTTATAATATGAATCTCTACATATGTGATGACAAGTGAACATTATGACACATGTTTTGATAAAGAGAAGAAAACTTATGTATTTGTAGGATAAGTATATATACATAGTATATTTGTTAAGACATGTGCCTGTAATATCGAGCATTATAAACTTAAAAATACAAATTAAGAAATTTTATACTTTTATAAATTAAAAAGGCATAAGTGTACAATTATGTTTATTATAGAGACTATGATAAGCGTTCTTTAAAAGGTATAATTTTTTCAAATAAAGTATATTCTCATCTATTTGTTTGTGTTTATCTTATAATTCTAATATAGCTGTTTTCAACATAGACTTGTAGTCATATTTTTGGAGTCTCTAATAGTTCACATGTGGTTATATTTTTGGATTAGGAGTTTATAATAGAAGCCATATATGAAATAATATTACGGGATGCTCTAAATTTCTAAATTAAATTATATATAACAAGTTACTGTTACAAGAAAGCCACAAAGCAAATAAGAAGTGGTCATAAGTAAAAAGAAATGTTACTGTAACTTAAACGGGATTAAAAGTATTAAATGGATTGTTAATAATATAAAAATATGTAGTATATTTGTACACTTATTTTTTATTAAATTGCTCGTATATATACATGTACATCTAATTATTATAAAAACAATTCCTTAAATTGAATTGTTAAAAATATGTCCATTTGTCTGTAACATAATTGACAAACGGAAGTTTAGATATTTTTGTGTTGTAAATTAATAAGTGTCTTAGCCGATCGTTAATAGAGAATATCCTCTATTTTATATATTCTCCTGTCTAAAGAAATTATTTACTTCTAAAAAATAAAGATTTTTCGAAATTGCGTGTATGTCTCACTATAAAATGATGAAAACAAATTTCTGTATATCTGTAAATCTATTCTCGGTAGACACGTGTTTAATTGCCCAAATTATTATACGTATTTATTCATCTATTTTTATATAGTTATATTTATTTCTTAAAATTATATATTTAGAAATTGTCGTTAAGCCACAAATGTACTCTCTACATGACATTTTATTGCAATTTTGTTTTGAAGAAAAATATCTCATATTTGTACGTAACGATATCTGATATAATCCATATTTACAAATTGTATAAATGAAAAATGACAATTAAGAAAATAACTTATAATGTGTAGAAAGAATTATGTTTATTACCGATCCATTCGTTATATTTTCAATGTATTTCTACAAATTATTATTTATTATACTGATATCTAATTCTTTCTTTTATTTTATCAGTCGCTTTATTTGAACTTATAACTTGATTCGTTATTTACTCACTTTTAACATCTTCCTTAAATCTACTTTGTGGAGTTGAGGGCCAGAGAATCAGTTTGTATAAAAACGAGCTCTTGCGATCATGAAAGTGAATCAAAGTGTGAGCCAATATCACAAATATAAAAATAATATATATTCGATTTTATATTATTTTATGAAGCTTTATCATTACAAAAATGACATTTGATCATGTTAAGAATACATTCTTTTTGCTGATACATTTGATTAGTCGAATAATTTTCGATCAATTTGAAAAATAATTTTTTCCTTTTCTGAGAAACTTAATCTTTTAAGTTATGTTACTTTTAAAGTAAGAGAGCGATATGTAAAATTTTGAGCTCTCTATTAACCATTATTATTAAATCTAACATCTGGAAGACTAGGAAAAAAGATTAAAATTTTTTTTATTTATTTAATTAAAAAAAAATTAACGGAAAGAATAGAAAGGTATTTTAGGTATTATTTTGTTAAATCGTTAAGTAATATATATATTTTTTGACATATAATGAACAATTTTTCAATATATAAAAACATTTTGGGAATAAAATATACGACTTAGATCACTTTTATCATCACGGACACAAGTATCTCATTTCGACACATTTTGTTTCTCAATATCACACCGCAAATTTTGTTGTTCGCCTATTAGCCCTTCTTGTACGAACATGACAAAGTTATCATGCTTCATTAGGAACATATTGTCGCTCGTCCGTATTGCTTATATATTGTTATATATGTATGTATCATATACTTTCTAATTAACGAAAATCTCGTAAATCTCTGTTGGCACACACGAGTCCCCCGTTCTACTTTTATCGATAAATGTTTCGTGGCAGTACTTTCGATTCAGTACTTTCATCACCTGCTAGTATTCGGTGGACCTTCATCCCCGTGAAAAATATTGCACATAGTTCGATGATCATGGTAAAGAAGATTTAAAAGGATCCTCCCGAATCGATTGGTCCTTTTTAGGCGTATACGAGGCAGAGCGGGATTCAATTTTTAATATCCGTTCGCCGCTCAGAAGAAGTAGAAGATCCAGTACACGACGTTAAACAACATGAAGCTGACTGGGAAGATGATCCGCGAGTACTTGTCTATCACGTTTACATCCTTGATCTTCGGCATTGATACACGTAACACGGAAGCTCCTCTACGTAGAGCGTGTAACATCTACAAGATTCAATTGCAATTTTAGACTTAAATATATTTTAATTAAATTTAAACTTTAGAAGCGATTTACAAATTTAGGAATGACTTTATCATTCTTTTCATTTTGTGCGGTTTTACAATTTTTATTTAAATATCTTTTTTACAAAAAAATTGTAAACTGCTAAAAGGTAATGAAAATACTTGAGACGTTCCTTAAGTATTTTCTGTACAGTTGCGTTTGTCTAGGACATGCTTTCGAATACCTTTGGCTTGTGCGGTCTTGGACCTCTGTATCTAAGACCGCTGTTTCGACTATGCGTGTTGTAAGCGGCAGTCCTGGACATACGAAAACTCGGCGGAAACTTGGCCGGGTCATGGTCCCTTCCAGCTCCCAAAGTCGATGAAGCGCTGACTATGCCTGACCTATTTCTAATGCTCGGCAAAGGTGACATTCTGAGGTCCTGAAGCTCTATGATATCCGCGTCCGTGGAGCCAGGAAAAGGCGAACTGATTTTGCTCCCTGAAACGAAATTGGATTGATCGAATAAGCAAAAAATAATATAAATTTTAAGAAATTTTAGTAGTATTAAAGGGTGATTGGTTAAATAAAATTATTAAGCGTGTACCCAGACAACACACAATAAGAATACTTATCGACCGTGGATCAATACAAACAATACAATAATTAAATATACATACAATAATCCATATTTATTATAATTTATAATACAACCAAACGTTTCGGTCTGTCATCAGACCATTCTCAATAGTGTTACATACAATTATTAAAAATTTCGCAATAAATTTGAATTTTTACAGACCAAAATCACTCAAAATGTTATTATACATATCGCTGTCAACAATAATTAAGATGTAATTTTCAAAGTATCATGATTTTCGTCAACTGCAAACCATGGAAAACATAGTATGTGTCATATCGGTTAAAATGATTTTCATCCCCAGCTTTACATGAAAACAAGTATGCTCTAACCTTTAAAAAATTGTTATTCTAAATCACATTTTTATATTCTATTTTAAATTAATATTATAAAACTACTTACATTATAAGTGTGATTAACAATTATATACTCCTTAGTAATAATCTTATTTCATCATAATAACTCGACGCACCATTACCTGATACTGACAAAATAATAATTTATTTTCATCAATTTGAATAATTAATTTAATAAATTCACAAAACTTTGTAATACCTGCGTAGAATCATTACAATGTATCACTAAATATACTGCACAATTTATCAAAGACATTATTTTTTCTTTTTCCTTTCAACGTTGATAACAGTTATTATAAAGAATGCTAAGACGAACTGCGACACACAATAATTATAAAATATTTACAAAATATTTATAAATATTTATAAGATTTATTTTAAATATTTTGTAAATATTTTTGTGGTCTTAGATTACACGGATCATAAACATTTATTATAAATATTATGGAATATTTATTGTAAATATGTTACAGTAAATGCTATGAAAATACTTAATGAGACATAATCTAAGTAAAAAATACCTATCGGAAATATTTATTTACATTTATCATAAATACTACGTAAAATATTTAATCTATATTTAATAACATTTACTTATACAAACTATTTATTTATTATAGATTGCTTTAATAGCGTCGTTATGATTACACGTATGTACAAAAAGAGATCTGTTCAAAAAGTATCGCGAATTTTGTGTTTTTTCAAAAATTATTTATTTATTCATGAATATCTATTTTGTCCCCTTCAAAGTAATCCCCATCAGATATTATACACTTGTGCCAATGTTTTTTCCAATCCTCGAAGCACTTCAAAAAATCATTTTTTGTGATCTTGTTCAGCTCCTCCTTCGATGCCGTCTTTATCTCCTCAATCGTAGCGTAGCGTCGTCCTTTCATGGGCCTCTTCAGTTTCGGGAACAAGAAAAAGTCACAGGGGGCCAGATCTGGGGAATACGGTGGCTGCGGCATCATTAGTGTGTTGTTTTTGGCCAAAAATTCGCGCACAAGCAACGATGTGTGAGCAGGGGCGTCATCATGGTGCAAAAGCCAATTTTTGTTCTTCCACAAATCCGGGCGTTTCTGGCGGATTGCTTCGCGCAAATTGCGCATAACTTGCAGGTAATATTCCTTATTGACCGTTCTACCCTGTGGCAAGAACTCATGATGCACCACGCCTCTGCAATCGAAGAAAACTGTAAGGAAAACCTTCACATTCGACCAAACTTGGCGCGCTTTTTTCGGTCTTGGCTCGTGCGGCAGCTTCCATTGGGATGATTGAGCTTCGATTTCCACGTCATAACCATAAACCCATGATTCGCCACCAGTTATGACCCTCTGGAGCACATTTGGGTCGTCGCGGACAGAGTCCAACATCTCCTGAGCAATGTTAATGCGATGCTGTTTTTGGTCGAAATTGAGCAATTTTGGCACGAATTTCGCGGCGACCTGTCTCATGCTCAAATCACTGGTAAAAATCGAATGTTCGTCTATCGATATGTTTAGGTCCTCAGCAACTTCTCTGACGGTGATTCGACGATTGGCCAATACTATTTTCTTCACTTCATCAATGTTTTCGTCTGTTGTTAAGGTGCTCGGGCGTCCGGCACGCTCTTCGTCGTTCACATCTTCTTGGCCCTCTGAGAACATTTTGTACCACCGATAAAAGTTGTTTCGGTCCAAGGTAGCTTCACCATATGTCATAGTCAACATTCGGAATGCGTCCGCGCACTCAATTTTGTTTTTCACACAAAATTTGATACAGGTTTTTTGATCCATTTTTTGGAATAGGCAAAAATCGAAGACGAACCAAAACACGTGCAAGCAAAGCCTGGGGTGCGTTCAGGAATTACGTCTAGATAACTCTGGAGTGCTCTAGTGTGCGCCTTGGGCGTTCAGAAACTTCAGGTATAATTTACCCAAAGCGTTCAGAAACATTTTAGGTCACTCCGAGATCACTCTATCGTCAACCTACTTTTGAATTGGGTAAAAATCGCCCCGCATGCGCATTGCAAAATCACGTGCCTAATAGGTCAAAGACTAAGGTTAAATTCTACAATTAAAAAGGTTTACTTCTTTTTGAAGAAAAAAAAATGGAAAATTTAATGATAAATAAAACTAATTTTGAAGTTGTGCGACTAGAAAATCTTTATTACAATAGAGCTATTAACCTTTTATATAATCTTCTCATTTCTAACAGACATGGACTACATTTACACGGCACCCTTAATCGAGTTTAATAACATCCGTAGTTATGAAACTGGCCAATCACAATCATTCCATTCTCCCGAGGAAAAGCTGTGATTCATAACTATGGATGTTATTAAACCCGATTAACCCCTTAGCTGTCAGGCGAAAATCAGCTTTTCGTGCCATTTTTGTCTTGGAAAAAAATTTTCATTGATTTATCCTATAATTTTAGTGTTATGGTTTTGGAGGTCGCTGAATCCGAATCTGAAATTGGATTTTCAAAATTCAAAATGACGGATCCAATATGGCGGACGCAAATTCGAAAAATGGTTTGATTTCTACAAAAATTTGTATCTCTAGATGTTCGTGATCGCGAATTTAGAATTTGAGTCCTGACTCTAGGTATCTGAAATTCGGATACATTATGACGAATAAAAATTCAGCAAACCATTCATGGTTTACAAATTGGAGATACAAATTTTTGTAGAAATCAAACCATTTTTCGAACTTGCGTCCGCCATATTGGATCCGCCATTTTGAATTTTGAAAATCCGATTTCAAATTTGGATTCAGCGACCTCAAAAACCATGATTTAACAAATTACAGTCGAATCGATGAAGTATAAACATGTTTTTTTTCAAATGCGCACATATGCGTTATGAGACGAAAATGGCACGACTTTTTTCTGCGCATATGTGCGTCACTGACACTCAAGGGGTTAAGCGTGCCGTGTCACGGCGCAGAGCTCAGAGACACCTCAATCGCATCACCCAAGGCGTTCAGAAACTTCTTTGGCTCGATCACTCTAGGACAGGATGCACTCAGAGTTTACCTCACTCTACCAATACCTGAACGCACCCCAGCTGTCAAAAATTAACTGAACATTCAGAATGGCCGAACTTGTCGGCATAAGTGAGAGACATGAGTACCAACATAACGCCACAAAAAATCGAAAATCGAATATACGTAACCCGCGGAAATTCAAAATTCGCGATACTTTTTGAACAGACCTCGTATCATAAATACTACCTAAAATATTTAATCTATATTTAATAACATTTACTTATACGAACTATTTATTTATTATAGATTGCTTTAATAGCGTCGTTATATGATTACACGTATGTACTTATCTATATTGCTGCGTTACTCCTTTGGATCAATTGCCTTTTATCCGTCGATATTTTAAAACTTCATTTTTATCTCGTGATATTTTCTTCGAAAGGACATTGTCTTCGAAAAAATGTTTGAAATAACTATCTATTGTTAACCGTTAAATAGCTAATTCCCACTTAGTTACTCGTATAGATAAAATTATATGCAGTGGAGACAGATGCTAAAGCAAGAGATAATCTACGATTTTGATAAAAACTTATGTAAGAATAGAAGAAATATTGATTCTATTATGTTCGTACTAATCGGAAATCTTATTTAACATAAGCGTTGTGACTATATTATCGCCACAAAATTATTGATCCGATATTCGGCTCGGTTTACCTGTTTTAGAAGATAGTATTTTCTTCTCGTCGGTTTCTTTCTTCTTGGTCTTCTTCTTCGCTCTGGCGCCCCAATACGTGTAATTGACCGCCGCATATTCCAGCAAGGCCGCGAACACGAAAACGAAGCACATCACCAGGTAGATGTCAATAGCTTTCACGTAACTGATCCGTGGCAGTGAGCTTCTAACACCTGTCGATATGGTTGTCATCGTCAGTACGGTCGTGATGCCTGTAAAAAATAGAATGATATATTACACATCCCATATTTGCCTGTAATGAGAAAAAAATGTTTCAACAATTTATTGAAAAATAAAAATCGGAAAGCTAAAAGTTTATTATTACGAGAGAAGAAATAAGTAATTTACGTTTAATGGAAACTTAATTTTAAACAATTTGACGAAACTATTTTTAGGACGTACCGAGAGCTACTCTCGCACTGGTAGCTTCATAATTGATCCAGAAACTGACCCAGCTAAGCATCACGATTAGTATACTCGGCAGGTACGTTTGAAAAACAAAATATCCAATGTTTCTCTGAAGTTTGAAGCTTAACGAGAGCCTCTGGTAGATGCCCGTCGCCAGCTTCTCCTTTCGATCATTGGTCTCATAGCCGATAATCGTAAATTGCGGCAACTCCGCCTCCTTGACTCCATGAACGGGAGTTTCCTTCCAATACATTAGTACGTCGAGCACCGTGTATCCATCTGAACATTCAGAACAGCATAACTCAGAATAATTCGCAGTTCATTAAACTCACTATTTTTTCATTTATTCATATGAACGCATGTGCAAAACTGATAGCGTTTTTCATTGGCAGAACTACACTGAAAAAAATGCATGTAATTTTATTTGAAAATTACATGTTTATGACTGGAAAATTACTTAAATTACATTGGAAATTAAATATGATTGGAAATTTACTGGAAATTGTAAATTTTCAATCATATTTGGGTAATTTTCCGATCATAGACATGTAATTTCCATGTAAAATTACATGCATTTTTTTCAGTGTAGAGCGCACTCAGTGCAGTTTAAAGTCGTTGTACATAAAGATGTCGATTTGTGTACGTTTAATAAAAATATAGAAACGAAATAAAATCCGCAAAATATTCAATATATTTTATTATGCTATTTAATAAAATACATATTGGGCATTTTATCAATTAAGATATCCCACTTTTACATTTAGATTAGAATAGTGTACAACAGCTTTAATGTGCACTAAGTGCGCACTAGTTCTGCCAATGAAAAACGCTATGAATATTCTTTCATTGATTCAAATAATTGTATTTTTACTAATATCCTAGATAATATTATTCCAATTAATAACATTTGTATTATTTCGGAAATGTAAATCTACAAAAAATTTAATTTAAAAAGAAGATAGGAAATATTCTTAAAAATTGACTTTTTATAATATTTACATATTTTTAAATCTAAAGAAAGTAAGTACGTCGTGGCTTTTTATGTTTTTATGTAAAGACATAAATATTTACAAGAAGAGAATGTTTGATAGATAATATTCGAATAATTGTGAATGCATATTCCAATACGTACAGCTTTCGATTTCAACTGTACAATTTTGTGAATCGAGGGGATAGTAATGCAAGTCCATCATGCAGGCCAGGGTCGTTGTGAATCTCATGCCGTATGTGATTGAGCCATCACCAGATAATCTAACGAGTTTGTTGCGCTCGGTGACGTCGTGCAGAAAGCTGCAATAAATTCAGCAGAACGATCAGTTAAGGCAAAGCTGAGAAGATAAAGGATTAAAAAGAAAGACGCTTTTAAATAAAATCTTTAAAAATAAAATATAATTACAAATGTTTAAAGGTTTTGAAACGTCATATAATTTAAACAATAATTATATTAGGACTCTCAAATCTTAAACAACATAAAAATATAAATAAAGTAGGCTAATGAGAGTCAAGCAATTGTTTAAAAAAACGGCGCAATTGTTTAATGAAATCAATACTCAGGTGTTAGATTGAAGTCTTCTTTATTTGTACGTTTCGACTCTCTTTAGAGTCCTTCTCAGCAATGATAATACAAGTATAATTAGCTCATATGTCCATAATAATCAAGTCACTCGCAAATTGACAAAGATGCAGCGATGTTAATCATCACGGAACATGAAGCGTGTCGTGAAGCAATGTTAAACATATTAAAAATCAATAAAGGTGGATGTAATAAAATTGAATAAAATCACACATTTTCAAACTCACGTCAGTGTACAATAACGTGTCGTTCAGATATATTGTGACTTGATCATTATGGACATGTGAGCTAATTATACTTGTATTATCATTACTGAGGAGGACTCCAAAGAGAGTCGAAACGTACAAATATAGAAGACTTCAATCTAACACCTGAGTATTGATTTCATTAAACAATTGCGCCATTTATTGTTGCTTGAGTCTCATTAACCTACTTTATTTATATTTTTATGTTGTCATATAATTTGTCATTATAATTACCTATTTTTATCGTTGGCAAAAAACGTATCCGGGACCCAAATCTTTTCCGCGAAATCGCCACTTAACGTCAGGACTTCACCCTCGTGTGAAAAGGCGAGTCTCTCGTCCTTCCAATATTGATTTAAGTACATTGTTATCGTATAATCCTGAAATACAAGTAATAATTAACATTGCTGACAGAACTTGTTATTACAATTAAGTAAAACAAATTATATGAAACATATTTACATAATATCCATTCGTTGTTTTTAGAGAGAGGAAAGAGTAGGAAGGATATAAGAATAAGAGTAAAAGGATGCTCGAAAATACATTTCAACACAACGGCGCTATCATGGATGAAAAGAAAGAAACTTTGTTGGGCGCATTGACGATCGAGCGGTTATCCAAGCCCAGGGAATACGATCCATTTATAAATCGCGACGAGGATATGAATATCGGTGAGAAAACGAATTTTGTATTTTGACTTGAACATATGATATGATATTCCAATACAAACGTCTCCAATGCAGCACAAGTATGTCGATTTACATATGTATACAAATGTATACATATATATTACAAGATTAGAATAAATAGTTGTAATATAAATAAAAGATATAGGATAATAATTTAAAATACTGTTTTAAAAACTTGATGAAATATTAACTTCATGTGATTAGAAAATTTAATTTAATTAATTGCATTAAAACCTAGCTATCAGACAAGTGGATTAAAAATTATTGCCACATCGGAAGTATTCTTTCTCTTTCTACTTATAAAAATATTTTGTTTAATTTTATTTACTCACCATATTGACTTCTGAAATCGCATCGAAACTCGCAATGGTGAGATCCATCCCAACTCGTAATGGATCGCCTTTAAAAAATAATCTGTATTTTAATTTTGTAGATACGTTAAATAATTTAGAAAAGTGCATAATCTTTAGAGTCTCAATTTTTTTTGCAATATATATGTGAAATAGTCAGGAAAAGAAATATAGTTTAAAATCTTCGTCTAATCCGTTGATAATATCGGAAAATTACTTCCCCTCGTTGCACGTTCGATTAAAACTGCTGATTGCGATCATGCCTTGTTGAATGACGTGGAAAACTTCATTAAAAGCTTTCCATATCGCTGCTTCCGAGCTCTATTCTAAAATTTAATTCTATCAAATATGGCTCGAAACCCGAATATTATAGCAATAGTTTTATTTGTCAAGTCCATTTCAATAGGTTTTTCTTACGATTAATATATTTTTAAATTGCATGTTTTTTATTAATATTTTTATAGGTACATAAAAAAGAATAATATATATATGTAGCTATTACATATATAATATATGAATATATGTATATTATATATGTATGTATTCATATGTATTAATATATGTACATTTATTATAATTGTATTATTAATAA